CCCCCCCCCCCCCTGCCTTCTGCCACGCCAACCCTCTCGCGACTCTCTCTCCCTCCCCCTTCTTTATCCCTGGAACCCTTCCTGCCCCGCGGGCCGCAGGCCCTCCCTACCGTCGGTGAGTAGAAAGAGGCTCGATCGGGTCCGCCGCGCCGCGCCGCGCCGCGCCGCGCGACCTCACGTTCCGACTTTGCTGTACCCACCGCGCCGCACAGTGGTGCCTAAGAGGGATTTTGCGGCTGAAACCTCACAATGTTATAATTGCTTCATTATATCGAGCAAACGCGTGGTGTATTAACAAAGGAAACTGTTTATTAAACGACGATTCCTCTTAATATCTAATATTAATCTCTCTCTCCCACCCCCCCCCCTCCCGCTCTTTCTCTCTCTATCTCCATCTCTATACGTTTGCACATTAATACGATATATCTTTTTTTTATTATTTTCTTTCGTTCATCATGTGTGAGACCGATGAGACCGATGAGATCGTATCATCTCAACTGCAAATTATTCTCGATCATTTCCAACTTGAACTAGTTCATATCGCTTATAAAATACTGTCCTTTTGCATACAAATTGTTATGACTGTCGCATATATACGGGCGGTACGTCAAAACTGTCAGAAATGTTAAAGAAAATATTAGTCGAACTATACCGTAAAAGCCATTTTATTTCGATAGGTTTTTTTTTTTTAATGAAGCATCGTGATATTTTCATTATCGTGACAACACGAGGAATTATGCAAAACTGGAAATAAAAAAAAATGTAACAGCTCTTTAACTTTACCCGCAAATGTTACATGTCTCATTTCCCGAAATTAATTTTCAACATAATTAAATAATTGGAGAACAATTTCGCGAAATGTTAAACCCCTCATTTACGTAACGTTTCTGTCGCGCGAAAACGCCACTGTCGCGCGGACGCCACTCGCAAACGTTTCGTCCGCGACTTTTCATTAATCGACTCGTGCGATTACGCGGGTAATGATGAAAGAAAGAGGAGAGAGAGAGAGAGAGAGAGAGAAAAGAAAGAAAGAAAACATTTTACCTTGGAAATTCCTTCTTTCATCCGTTTAGGCACCACTGCGCGTCACGCCGCTATTCACTTCACTTCACTCGCGATCTTTACCGCGACAATTTAACCGCGCTCTCTCCTTCTCCTCGCTGCGGAGGAGAGGGATGGAGAAGAGAGTCGGTCCTTTGAAGTACGTTTCCCCGATAATTTGATCGCTCCCGCGAGACGCGATCTTTTCTCTTCCCTCGAATCTTCTAACTGGCATCGCCTATCCGTGGCGCCTGTCCATGCGTTCTTTTCTTTTTTTTTTCCCCTATCACGATAGATGCTTCCCGGGACCGCCCAGTAGATCGACCCGGAACCACGGCAGAATGGTCGTCCGACGATAGACGTGGAATTATCATTGACTCCTAATGCAATTACCGACAGATACGTCGTTTCGTTTTCACCACGAGGTCATTCGGCCGCCCCAGCGTGGGCCGACACGAACAAATGGCATTGTTGAGTTCTTTCGTCCCTTCGACGCGGGAGCTCCCTTAATGAACGTCGGAAAACGTTCGTGCGACCGAATGAATGAATGGATGTATATCGATCCGTACATCAGTCAAGGATTAAACCTGCAAACCGACAAACGTCATAAACGCCTTGGTCTTACGCGCTCTTAACATTATCCGAACGCGAGCCAGCGCGAGGTATTACTCAACCTTTCAAGATATATGACTTTTATGGCTATAAATCGCACGTCCGATAACGCTATTCTCCGCGGTGCGCTAAGGTCGAGTTATTTCTGCGGTTGTAAGTCTACTAATCCGAAGACTTAATAAAATAATCTTCCGAGAATCATATCCAAGTATTTCCACGGCTCGCGTGCCTCACAACCGTTTCCCCAATCTCGATTCGACAGAAATAATTACACTCGCGGCTCGCGGCGCTTTAATGGAAAAAATGTCATAACGCGATGCAGTTGCAAATCGTTTTAATGCTATTCAAGATGGCGAAGGCTCGCCTGTCACGCCCCAATAAACGCCAGACTGATTTTCTATGTTATACGGCGCGATATCGTCAAAACATAAAATATGTGTATTGTATGTATACCTACACGCATGCGATAGCCTTGAATTGACGTTCGCGTGCATGCTCTCGACATATCGTTATACCGCCTGTCACAATGCTCTAATTTTTGCACACTGTCGCAAAACATATGGCTCACGCTTGACAATAATACGACGGTCGTACTACGGCACGTCCGCCTAAGTATTTCCCAACTTTGTGAACTTTATTTGGCGAGCTTCGCGGAAAAAAAAAAAAAAAAATCGATTCGCACGTCACTCGATTCGCGCGTGGTCCGGCAGAAAAGTTTTTGACGTTCAATAAATTTCTACGCGCTTTCAATTGCATATATGTAATATGTGTACGGACTAATATTCAAATTTCATTCGAAAGAATTCATACGACCGACACGCAAGTATAAAGATTTATTCTATTGATCCGCGTTGGTACGAGCCAAGAAATTTCGGCGATATCGGCGAAATCGACGAATCGTCCGTGCTATTTTTACAAGATTTGCGTGTGTGTTAAATAAACGGCCAAAACACTGGATATATTAATGTTTGTATAAAAGAGAATAAATACGTATTGATATTTATACAAAAGAACAAATAATAACGGTAGACTGTTTTCGTGTTACCTCGACGTAACACACACACACACACACACACACACACACACACACACACACACACTAAAAACAAACAACGCGCATCCATCAGTTCTTTGTGCAAAATATTTCTGAAGGGCATATATGCGTTTCCCTAATTATTTCTACGTCAAATTTATTCAAAGCAGGGAGCTTGTTATTTCCTGCAGTTCTCCAGCAGAAACCGGTCTGCCGAATTAATGCGGTATACTTTGCCAGCGGGGCGGCGGACGAGGCCGCAACGCGAGGCCGAGAAGAATGTTTGCGATAATATCTATGTGATAAAAAAGACTGGTTACTTTGCATAATGCCAAAAATATCGCGAAACGTGCATTCGCACATAAACGTAAGCACACGGACCCCGGCCGGGTGCGACCCGAAGCGTGAAAATTACAATGCGCAATCGGTGCCGGTGCGCCGAGGCGACGTTAAAAACGTCGGTATATATACGGCGAAGGGGGTTTATCTTTCGACGGCTATATAATGTAAATTTCAAGGATAGATTCTACCACGCGCGCACGCCGATGAATCGAGCATCGACGATGCACACACACACACACACACACACATACGCTTCGTTAGTTTCGTATAGCGCGCAATTTCAAAGAGCGCCGGTCAATTTGTTTGGTATGCCATCAAAAATGTATGGTCCCGTTGTGTTGTTGCGCGATGAATACGAGATTGCATTTGTGGTCTACAACAAATGACGCGCTAATTATAAATTCACACATCCCTAGAGCCGGATAACCGGCTTGAGTACGCGCGGTCGCTCAATGGCGAGGGATTATGACCTCGCGTAGTATATAATTCCGCTTTATTTATTGATCGTTTAATTATGTATCCATGAGAGACGAGGGGAGAGAGAGAGAGAGAGAGAGAGAGAGAGAGAGACCAACGAAAGGTATTAATATTTGACATTGCACGCGTTGTCTGTGGAACTGTCATCGGACAAATGAAATTGCAATTGAATCTTTAAACGACTACAAATCAAAAGGCTCCCCACACCTTCCCGATTTAATTACCAAATATCCTATAATTATGGCATCAAGCAATTATTATTCGATGAGTTGACAAACGAGCGTAAACCAAAGGTCCGGTATAATCATCGGGGATGTAAAATCTCTGGTTGTTGGAACGTGGCGATATCGTAGTGGCGCAGCGTGCGTGCCAATATCGGAGATATTGCTATCTAATTAATCGACACAGTTAATTAACCACCGTTCGACGTGCAAAAATGTCCCTCTCTCGCGCGCGCGCGAGAATGGGACGTGCGAACGGGGAGGCATCTCGATTTCGACAATACCGCCAGTCACACCGCAGAAAATCAATTGTGACATTTGATTGTTAACGTTCAGCTGTCCGATATATTGTGAATAAACCCGCCATTGTGCACGCGTGACCGCGTGGCGTCGTAATAATATATAGTATGTACAACACAACCGCGCGCATTACACGCGGATATAATAATTCACTCGTAAATTGTAATTTCCTGTTATATAACGCGGCGTTTAATATTAACGCATTGTGTCGTTCGCATTACGTCGCGAAGGAAATTGCGAGATGGAAGCGGCAATCCGGGCTGCGCGCGAAGACGCCCAAGATGAACCGGTTAACCGTAACTTTTGTCGTCACTCGTCGTGTAACTTTGCAGAATGTAAAGTGTAAATTTTAACGGTTACCACGCTCACCCGTCGACAGCTATATATGTGTTTTCTGCATAGTTCCTACCATCAACTTTTCTGCCGAGCACTCGACGGAAGTATACGCGAGATAAATCTCAACGGACGCGCGAGAATGTCGAAGTGAAGCTGCAAGGCAGATGCGAGGGGAGGATGATGGAAAAGTAGACT